CTGCTTCTCCCTCTGACCCTCCCGACCCTCCCCCCTCTCATGTGCTCTCTCTCTCTCTCAAATAAATAAATAAAAATCTTAAAAAAAAAACAAAAACAAAAACAAAACTTTAATTAGAGTGTCCCAGAACAGAGATAGCAGAATGAAAGCACTTGGTGAGAATCCTGCAATTTTGATAGAAATATACAAACACTAAAGAACAATAGCATACATTTTCAGAAATCTAGACAACAGATTTTTTAAGTTTCCAGAGAAAATAAACCTCTGAGTCTTATACAAAGATCAGACATCAGAAAGACCTCAGATTTCTTTTTTAAGATTTTTTTTTTATGTGTGTGTGTGAGAGAGAGAGAACAAGTGGGGGGCAGAGGCAGAGGGAGAAGCAGACTCCCCACTGAACTGGGAGCCCCATGCAGGCTCGATCCCAGGACCCCGAGATCATGACCTGAGCTGAAAGCAGATACTTAACCAACTTAAGCCACCCAGGCGTCCCTAGACTTCAAATTTCTTTCTTTTTTTTTTTTTTAAGATTTTATTTATTTATTTGAGAGAGAGTGAGAGAGACAAAGAGCACAAGAGGGGGGAGCGGGAGAGGGAGAAGCAGACTCCCTGCTGAGCAGGTAGCCCGATGCGGGACTCTATCCCGGGACTCCAGGATCATGACCTGAGCCGAAGGCAGTCGCTTAACCAACTGAGCCACCCAGGCGCCCTAGACTTCAAATTTCTTAACAGCAATACTACTAATAAGACAATGATGGAGTAGTGTATTTCATATTCCCTAGAAAAATAATATTCAGCTTTGCCTTCCCTGCCCAACAAGAAAATACATGTACATCCAGTATTTAGACGTTACCCCAAAATCTTATAGTAACAACAACAAAAAAGAGGGAAACATCCTGGAGATTGGAGAAGCAAAGAATTCTGGTGAAGAAAGATCTGAAGATAACTAACAGCTGTAAAAAAGTGAATCTCAAACAGCCCCTTTGGGAACATGGTAGGGGCTCTGGGAGATTGTCTTCAGAAGGATGGAAACTGTTTAGCCTCAGCAGCTTGAGAAGAAATACACACAGTTGTGGAAGAGTTTGTGGTCAAAGTAAAGGAAAACACACACACACCCAGAAAACTAAGGATTTCGACAAATACTATTAGTGAAGAAAAGAGAAAGTATGAATAGTAACAAAGATAATGTATGGGAAAGTAAAATTAATCATCATGGGGCTAGAGAAATAGACCCCAAATCAACTCCATGTTTTAAGAGTTGACCTTAATTATATTAACAAAGAAAGGTTGAAAGTAATGCATGGAAAAATACTAACATTTAAAATAAAGAATGGGGTGCCTGGGTGGCTCAGTCGTTAAGCGTCTGCCTTCGGCTCAGGTCATGATCCCAGGGTCCTGGGATCGAGCCCCGCGTCGGGCTCCCTGCTCCGTGGGAAGCCTGCTTCTCCCTCTCCTGCTCCCCCTGCTTGTGTTCCTGCTCTCGCTATCTCTGTCTCTGTCAAATAAATAAATAAAATCTTTAAAAAAATAAAATAAAATAAAGAATGATTAGCAATAAGGTAATAGAAAAAAAGAATTGCTAAAGATACAGTGAGATGGTGCAATCAGAGTATAGAAAAAAGAAGAAAATTATGAAATAGGGTTTAGTAGAAAACTTATATTGATTATAGTTGATCGATGTTGAGCTGCATATATAATGAATTTTCTTCAAATTACTATAATTCAGAATAACACTTTTGCACACTAAAAGCAACTACACTAATTTAAAAAGTACATAAAATGATCCTACTTGATAGAACAGTCTCTGGAAACCTCAAAAGTAGTCTCATGAATTCAGATGGTAAAAATGAGCTAAATGTTGAAACAAAATGTAAAATTATAACAAAGGGCATCAAATGTCCTTAATGTATGGAGATAAAAACAATATTTGAGACTAGGAAGTGTTCTTATGTTTAAGATTATACTCTCTCCAATTTAACCTATAAATTGCAATCCCAATCAAATACTTAGCAAATTTTGTATTTTTTGTTTTGTTTTGTATTTTTAGTAGAAAGGAACATGCTAATGTAAAATACATGTGATCAAGATGAAGAATCCCAAGACAATTTTTTAAAAAGTGGATAATAAAGGGTACTTATTTAAACAGATATCAATCATCATAAAGCTTCGGAAATTGAGTGTGTTTTTAGGTACTTATGCTATAGTAATGCCAACAGACAAATAGAACAAAATACCTGTGGTTATCTAGAAAAAATAATTTTTTTTTGGAGAAGCATCAACTTTTTTGGTCATTTGTGCTTAGAAAAGTGGAGGCTTGCACACCTGAGGATGGTGCTGGGCCTCTTCCCAGTCACTGCTGGTGAAGGGCCCAAAACCAAGCCATCCAGCTCCCTCATGATGTTCAAGAGCAGGGGTGAGGCCCTAACTACGTCCAGCGAAGCCTGACACCGTCCAGCTGCGCATGCTCAGCGGGGTTGTTGGGGTCGTACCTCTCCGGGAAGGTGAACAGCAGCCCGATGCGGATCTGCAGCGAAGAAGGCGAAGCTAAGGCTTTCGGCTGGAAGTCGTCAGCTGTCCACAGCTTGATGTCCAGCAAGCCCTCGGTGGTGCTCTTCTTTTTAGAGCAATGGTAAAAATAAATAAATAAAAAACAAAAGATATGCGTAGTTACATAGAATAACTTTAGGTGATAGAGGGAATTAAAATCAATGGTTTAATATCTACTGTAAGTCTTCATTAGAGAAAAATAGATCTGTTGGTAAAACCGCGCGCACACACACACACACACACAACATTCAGATGGTAAAAGTGAGCTAAATGTCCAAAGAAAAGCTTTAAAGAAATTAAAAGTGAAGACAATGTATGAGGTCATATATATATGACTTTGGGTTAGGAAAATATTTTTTGAGTAAGATACAAGAAGAAATTAGCATAGAAGAAATGACTGATAAATTTGACTACATTAAAATTAAACATTTTCTGAGACAAAAGAAACTATAATCAATGTTGAAAGAAACATACTGGAAGATGACATTTGTGATGGCTTAAGAACAAATTACTAATATTCACATATACAAAGAATTTCTTGCAAGTTGAGAAGAATATGACGCACTGTGCAAGAGATACAAAGGAAAAAAAGATACAAGAGATAAACTGAATGGTTTATAAAACTTAAGTGAGGAAGTGTGTCTCATTCAAAGCAATGGCAAGTGCAAAAGCCTGAGGTAGAAATAAACTTAACATGTTCAAGTAACAGGAAGGTCAGTATGAGTTTAAGTGGTTAAAGGGAGAATGGAAAGAGATGAGATCAACATGACAGGCAAGGGCTCCATCATTAGAAATGTTGTAAATTAGGGTGAGGTGTTTAGTGTTCTAAATGGGATGGGAAGCCATTGCTGAATTTGGGGCAGAGTAGTGGTATGCATCAGTTTGCATTTTTCAATAATCACTGGCTGGTGGGTGGAGAGCGGCAACTGCAAAAGGATGGAAATAGAGGTGGGAGACTGCGTGGAAGCATGGTGAC